CTTAAAGCAAACAAACAAACAAAGACTCAAATCAATGAACCCAGAGATGAAAAATGATACATAACATCACAGAAACTTCTGAAATCCTGAGGATCATTAAAAACTATTTCAAAAATTAATACTCTAATAAGCTAGACAATATCTTTAAGATATTGACAAATTCTCAGAGACATATGAACCATGAGGATATAGAAAATGTAAAAGGTTGATATCAGATAATGAAAATGAAGTTGGTGTTAAAAGCCTTCCAAGAAAGAAAAGCCCTGGACCAGTTGCGTTGTTCTTTGTCTCATGTCTGCCACATTCTGTCCTCATATGAAATTTCTTTTAGCCTCTCAAGCTCTCAACCAACAATCATGAGCTTTTAGTTCCTGGGACAGAATTTGCCATTGAGATGAGAAAATGACCCTTTTGAGCACTTTTTCCTAGAACTTTGATACCCTTTCTGTGGGTCTCTTGCTCTTCATTTCTTAGCTCATGGAGTCATTTTCATCTGAACTTTTCAAATCTTATTTATTTACTTATTTTTACATGAGCTCTATTATTATTATTATTTGCATTAAAATTCTTAATAAACTTTTATACCACAATTTATCATATCTCTGTATACAAGATATGTTGATCTCCAATCTTATAGCAAGCCATGATTTACCTTTACTGATAATGGCCAATATTTGTTTCTTCTTTGAATAGAATTCCACCTTTTCATTTTCTCTCTCCACAAGAGATTTGCTGTATTCTCAATGCACATATTTTCTACCTCTGTTTCCTGGGAAGCGCTGGATCTTGTAACATCTTTATAAGCAATAAACACACCCAATACACTGTTATTAACTCCAAATCAGATTTTAAAATAAAGAAAATACTTGCAAAGTAGGGGCAGGGAACATACAAATGAGCCTAGAGTATGTTGCTGCATCCCAAAGTAAGGAATTGTTTAAGGATTATTGGTGACATGGAAGAAGGCACAAAATATAGTCATTAGGAGACAAGTTGAGCACCCAAATAGGTAATACTACTACTACTACTACTACTACTACTACTACTACTACTACTACTACTACTACTTCTACTACTACTACTAATGCATTATAACCCACTGACACAATTGAATCCTTGATTCCTTATTGATACAGAGAAATGACCAACTTGAAAATTTGATGTGGGATAGTTAAATAATTTCAAAGAATCCCTCGACAGCATACTTCCAAAGAACAAAATTGAGAGAAGTAAAGTGGAGAATTCTGCCAGAAATATCTGAACCTACTAATCAAATAAACATTCCTAATAAAACAGATACAATTGTTTATCACCTAGGAAGGGAGGAAAATGTCATACTGTGATCTTTCTTCCAGAAATTCTTAAGATGAATTTAATTAGTAGGAAACTGATTAATAAATTCAATTGAGGGGCATTTTATAAACATGAAGTCTATGCTCTTAAAGAGTGTGAAGGTCATGTAAGTGAAGGAAAGATTGGAGAAGTGTCCTAGAGTCTACTAAAAAGATGTGACAATTAGTTATAACATGATTCTGGATTCTCTACAAGCTTTTAATGGAATATAATGGATATCTTTGGGACTGATTGATGACACACCATTAGGAATAAGGATTAGAAAGTCCCAATATATCAATACTTAATTCCTGATTTTAATACTTTGAGTATAATTGTACAGGAGAAAAACCTTTTTTTTTAAAAAAGAAAATATACACTAAAATATTTCTGGATTGCTGGTCCTTGGGAACATGGTGTTAATTTACCCATTTTTTTTAACACTTGGGATTGAACTCAGGGGCACTTGACCACTGAGCCACATCCCCAGCCCTATTTTATATTTTATTTAGAGATAGAGTCTCACAGAGTTTCTATAGGACCTCACTGTTGCTGAGGCTGGCTTTGAAGTTGCAATCCTTCTGCTTCAGCCTACTGAGCTGCTGGGATTACAGAAATGTGCCACTGTGCCCAGCTATTAATTTATTTTCAAATGGTTCAATCAAAAAGTTCCCTGTATATAGTAACAATTTCTCTACTGTTGTGATTATTAAAAAATGAATCCAGTTGTAGGCATATATGTGTATGTGTATACAAATTATATATTTATTTTATATTATATATATAATTGTGTGTGTGTATATATATATACATAATCTCTCTCTATGTATATATATGTGTATATATATGTGTATGTGTGTGTGTGTGTGTGTATATATATATATAAAACCTAGAGTTTTATAAATGAAAGGAACATCCAGTAGCATTAAGCTTTATGGAAATTCAAATTAAAACTTAAATAAAATATGATGATATAATCTACCAGAATGGTTAAAATGAAATAAAGACAGATTATTCTAGGTACTGTCAATAACTTGTAGCAACTGGCACTCTCAGGTGTAATTAAAAATTGGTTCAATCATCTGTCAATATTACTTAGAGTGAGTATATGCATATTCAGCAATTCCACTCATAGATATGTATGCACTCCATTGGGATATCCAAAGGACATAAACAGAAATGTTTATATTAGCACTATTCAAAATAGCCCTACACTGGAAATAATCCAAGTGTCCATAACAATATCATGGGAAAATAACTTTTATGGAATAAAACTAATTATGTAATTATTAACTAAATTAGTATATATTTTGAAAGTCTCTGAGACTCATTTGTGTGTTCCCTGTCTGTATTCTGCAATTAGCCATTTCTCTAAATACTCCTCATTCCTTTATTTGAAAATCTGGTTTAGAGTCAATATCAGTGCAATGGGTGTGTTTATTGCTGTGAAGATGTTACAGAACCCATACAGACCATGCCTATTATTTCCACATTATTTTTTCATCACTGTAAAGAAATACCTGACAGAGTCTATTATGAAGATGAGATTTTTGTTTTTTCCCCCCACAGTTCTGGAGGTTCAAAGTCCCAGCCATAAGGCAGGCTCAGTGGAGAGGGCCATCCCAAGGAATGAAATGATGGCTCTAAATAGAGTTACTGTGGTTCTGATAGAGTTTAGAGCTATGAGAGTCGGGCAGCAAATTAGTGTTTCTCTTTGCCCTGCGTAAAGGATTCTCTAAGCCCTGTGTTGAATTGATTAATAAATGTGATGTGTCATTTTAATAAACTTGTAGTGTAATGATTAACTAAATTAATGTTTATTTTGAAAGTCTGAGACTGAATCATGAAATATTGAATCAAAGTACATGTGGATGTTAGTAAATCCAGTGGAAGTGAATGTCTGGTGTGGAGGGAAGGGTGCAAGAGTCAGGAAGGTGGGATCCAGCCTCAGCTCTCCCTCCTGCAGTCTCTGTATCCTTGGCCAAGGCAATGCATCTCCAAGGCCCAACTCTTCAGCTCCACAGTGAGGATAATTTATCTTAGGCAAAGGAAATTGAGAGAATCAAAAAGGATATGACAGGTGTGATAATCCTCTGTAAATCGTCAGAATCCCTGTAAACATGACTGATAAATCCTTATGTAATTCATTCTTCACAGATTTAATTTTTTTAAAAAAATTAAATGTGCTTAGAAATAACTGCACTAGTCAATTTAGGATGAATGTGATGATATTGTTAGAAAACAAGCCTCTGCATAAGCTTTTTCATTACCTGTCTAATAATATATGTCATTCCAGTCAATTTTAAATGCAGGTGACCCCTAAATGTCTTATCTTACTCAGGTCCACATGTTGGGGACATCCTGTGCTGTGCATTTAAAGACTTCCCTACCTCCGTGTTCTTCTGTCTGTAATTTTATTTTATACAAGCATTGCCATTACCTCCGTGTTCTTCTGTCTGTAATTTTTTTTGTACAAGCATTGCCATTAGTGATCTAGTGGTATACATTATTTCACTGATATTTAGGCCCTCATGACCACTGAATGTCATCTTCTGTTCAGGTTTGCACAATGGGGTCCTTCTGTGCTGTGTGTACTATTGAAAGATGGTCTCTGTCTCCCCCACCCACCACCAAAGCACATGCTTATTGTTTGTTCTATCATCTTCCTTCTTTTCTCCTCCAAAATTTTCGGAGATTGGTTCTTCCCTCCATTGCACTAAGCAAGTTTTCCTTCTGTAGTGATGGAGAGGAGAGAAACAGTATCTGATTTCCTCACCAGAGAGTGTATGGTTCTTATTTTGTGAACAGCTTGTGGGTGGTTTATATTCACAATAACTAAAGTTTTTGGCTTTTTTGTTTTGCTAAAATTGTTCTCCAGGCAGCTGTGGGGAAGCCATAGCCCACCACAACTGATATTGGAAGAGCTCATTCCAATCTCAGTTCTGTTGCCACCTCTGAGTTGTGTGACACAGACGGTCTCTTGTTCTCTCAGATTCTGCTTTCCTTATTTGAAAAGTAAAAAAAAATAATAACCTCTGTCTTCAATTCCTCTATAAAGCACTTATTAATAAAAGAAGTGTATATTAGCTAGATACTCGATACATGTTCAGTCATTCAAGACTTATAATAGCTCTTACATGTTTAAGCAACTGTAATGTTAGTACAGAAGAATAAAATATTTAAAAAGAGTTATTTTCAGTAATGGTATGAAGAGTTTGAGAGTCATGATTGGGTAATCATTATTTTACATGCAAGGGATAAAACACATGGATAGACCTAAATGTCAGAAATTTCCAACTGGTTGTCAGTCTAAGAATTGAGAAGGTTGAACAATTTTTTCATCAAAAATTTTTTCTCATTGGTTCTCAATTCTGGTTGCACATTGGAAGCAATGGGGGGTGTTTAAAAAACATTAAAAATAGTACCTAGGATTCACCCCAGACTATGTATGCCAGAGTCTCCAGGGTGGGGCTATGGGAAGGAGAGCAAGTGTAGGGAACACCTTATTTTCATGTTTTTTCAATGGGTCGAAGTCCACTCAGAAGAGAGATTAAAGGACAATCAGCTCACGGGCCACTTATGTGTCAAAGAGTCACAAGTTAGCAGGGAGTGTTATAAAAGCTGTGGATTGCAGGCTCACAGTTGTTTCAGTTAGAAGAGAAGGTTCAATGGACCTAGTCGTGGCCCTGGTCCTTGGTCTCTCCTGTCTGCTTCTCCTCTCAGTATGGAGACAGAGCTCTGGGAGAGGGAAGCTCCCTCCTGGCCCAACTCCTCTCCCAATAATTGGAAATATTCTTCAGATAGATGTTAAGGACATCAGCAAATCCTTAACCAATGTAAGTATGCTTTATGATCCTTCAATGGCTTGCAAAGGATGAATAATTCACTCTTTTAAATAAAATATACCACTGGAGGCAAATTGTTAAAAGATATTTTTATATGGCACATACTCCCTGTGGATTATTAGTTTTAATTTGTCACTGTCAGATAAAGTGAAATGATAATAATGCATTTTGCTAGGAGAGAAATAATTAAATTGGGTGGTAGATTCAAAATGATAAAGCACTAAGCTTCTTTGATTCATAGTCATTTGCTATGACTTTTTGCCTGAAGGTAAGTGGGAGCACAAATGTTTTGAGATTAGAGATTTTATTCAAGAAATCATTTACTGCACTTGTTGTATATTTTGTTTAGATTAGCCATGATAAACTTCTCCACAGAAGCAAATTTGTCTGTTGTCAAGGAAATACCTATGGGTCTATAAAAACATATGTGAATAAAAGAAAGAGAGCCAGCTGAGTGGCATCAGAATGCTTTTGGGCTTTGCACAGAGTTCCTGTCTGTGACCTATGAATGTCCAGCATGGAAGGAATTGTCCTTCTATGGGATGCTGCATGTCCTGATATTTCTCTGTTGTGCCCACTCTCTTCCCGAGTTAATAATATTGGTGGATCTCAAACTGGTCTGTGCATTAGAATCATCTGGAGGTATGTTTAAAAATGGAGATCAGGTGACTCTCAAGCAGTATCTGACAGCAGCTATTCTAGGCATTGGTGACTGATACAAATTGCTCAGGTACCAGAAGTCGACAAATTTGGATATTCTGTTTATTAGATATGGGAAAAAAATGAATATGAAAGTCTTTGAACCTCAGTCTCTTTACCTGTAAAACAGTAAATAAATCTGTCTCAAGGTACTGATTAATTGTGATGGTTCACATAATAATTTCCCTGGCAATTTCCTGGCAAATGAGTCATTCTGTATGTATGTGGCGGCTGTAACAATCAACAACCACCATCTTATTTATGTATAAAATTCAGCAAGATTGAAAATTGTGTTTGGTAGAATAAAAATAGCAACAACATAATAATGTTAGTTGGAATCATGCACATTTTGAAATTATGACTTGCTAATATTTGCATTTCTCTCCTGTTTCCAGCTGTCAAAAGTCTATGGCCCTGTGTTTACGCTGTATTTGGGCAGGAAGCCCATGGTGGTGGTGCATGGATATGAAGCTGTGAAGGAAGCCCTGGATGATCTAGGAGAGGCGTTTTCTGGAAGAGGCACTTTCCCAGTAATTGAAAGAATTAATAATGAACTTGGTGAGTGTGAATGTGCATGAGTGTGCAAGTGTGTTTTAGGCAGTGGTCCTGGGGATGAGATCTGAGCTCTTCAGACAGATCTTGGCTACACTGTGTCAGCTTCCTCTTCTTTGCTTTGGATTTCTCTATTTCATTCTGTTAGGAGTCATTTTCAGCAATGGAACAAAATGGAAGGAGCTCCGACGCTTCTCTCTCATGACCCTGAGGAATTTTGGGATGGGAAAGAGGAGCATTGAGGACCGCGTTCAAGAGGAAGCCCGTTGCCTTGTGGAGGAGTTGAGGAAGAACAGTGGTGGGTGCCTCTTATGTTATTCACCTCGACACACTGCTCTCTTCTCTTATGAGGTCCTTCCAAACACTGCAGGGGTGGCTGGAATATTTCATCCTTGGGTGGTGATTGCTATCTCTCATGGGGAGGAGGCAATAGTGTGAGGCAGAGAGCCAACAGGGCTTTCGTGTCTGTATGCTTGGTTTTTGTTCATGATGACTGTGAATGAAGTGTGGGTAAAATGCTCATTGAATCCTACATTTTCCCCAGCTTATTTATTTGTTTTCAAATCCATATATCATGAAGACAGAAAGTGCTGAGACTCAATACAAAAAAAAAGAGCCATTAAAGACTAACATTTTTCCTGTCACGTAATTGTGGATCAACTACTCCTAGAGCATTTTATCAGGGAGCACTTGTCAAGTAGATATGGGGAATGACCTCATCACATCTTTATGGAGCATAAGAAAGTGACATGTTTTGTCACTTGATTGTTTCATATTTGTTCCATCAGCCTCTCTGACATGTCTGGGTTTGTTTTATGACCCATGCCTGCAATTTCTGACAGGAGTGGTGCTTTTCTGTGATTTATTTGCCTAGGCATCTCTTAGTGCAGGACTCATCTATTGTGTTCACTGTAAACAATGAACTATTTTTTTTTTTTTGGCTGCTACAAAATATTTAATTTAAAAAAATTTAATTTATTATATATGACAGTGAAATGCATTGCAATTCATATTATACATATAGAGCACAATTTTTCATATCTCTGGTTGTATACAAAGTATATTTACACCAATTCATGTCTCCATACATGTACTTTGGATAATGATGTCCATCACATTCCACCATCCTTGCTAATCTACCCTGTCCCTTTCCTTTCCCTCTCACCCCTCTGCCCTATCTAGAATTCATCTATTTCTTCCATGTTCCCTGTCCCTGCCCCACTATGAGTCAGCCTCCTTATATCAGAGAAAGCATTTGGCATTTGTTTTTTGGGAGTGGCTCACTTCACTTAGCATTTTCTTCACCAACTTCATCCATTTACCTGCAAATGCCATGGTTTTATTTTCTCTTATTGCTGAGTAATATTCCATTGTGTATAAATGCCACATTTTTTATCCATTCATCTACTGAAGGGCATCTAGGTTGGCTCCAGAGTTCAGCTATTGTGAATTGTGCTGCTATAAACATTGATGTGGCTGTGTCCCTGTAGTATGCTGTTTTTTAAGTCCTTTGGGTACAGACCAAGGAATGGGATAGCTGGGTCAAAAGGTGGTTTCATTCCAAGTTTTCCAAGGAATCTGCATACTGCTTTCTATATTGGCTGCACCATTTTGCATTGACAACAGCAATATATGAGTGTGCCTTTTCCCTGATATTCTCGCCAATACTTATTGTTGTTTTTAATCTCCTCCTTGATGTATTTTGCAACCCATTGTTCATTCAGTAGCATATTGTCTAGTCTTTAGGAGTTGGAGTAATTTTTATTTTGTCATTGGTTTCTAATTTCATTCCATTATGATTTAATAAAATGCAGGGTAGTATTTCTACTTTTTTGTATTTGTTAAGAGTTGCTTTGTGGCATATATGGTCTATTTTAGACCATTGTCTAAAATGGTCTAAATACACTTTCTTCTCACATGTGCTGAGAAGAAAGTGTTTTCACTTGATGAAGTGTATTCACTTGATGAAGGATGAAATATTCTATATATATATCAGTTAAGTCAAAGTTATTGATTGTATTATTGAGATCTGTAGTTTCTTTATTCAACTTTTGTTTGAACGATTTATCCAATGGTGAGAGAGGTGTGTTAATGTCACCCAAGATTATTGTGTTGTGGTCAATTTGACTCTTGCACTTGAGAAGAATTTGTTTGATGAACAAAGATGCTCAATCGTTTGGTGCATATGTATTTATAATTGTTATGTCTTGTTGGTGTATGGTTCCCTTGAGCAGTATGAAATGTCTTTCTTCATCCCTTTTAACTAACTTTATCATGAAGTCTACTTTATTTGATATAAGGATGGAAACACCTGCTTGCTTCCACAGTCCATGTGAGTGGTATGAGTTTTCCCAATCTTTCACCTTCAGTCTGTGGATGTCTTTCCTATCAGATGAGTCTTCTGGAGGCAGCATATTGTTGCTTTTGTTTTTGTTTTCTGCCAGCCAATGTCTTTTGATTGGTGATTTTAGGTCATTAACATTCAGGGTTATTATTGAGACATGGTTTGTATTCCCAGGCATATTTGTTTATTTTTGTTATTTAAATTTACTTGTTTTCTCCTTTGATTAGTTTTTCCTCTAGGGTACTATCTCTCTGCTGCTGATTTTCATTATTGTTTTTCATTTACTCTTCATGGAATATTTTGCCAAGGGTGTTTTGTAGTGCCAGTTTTCTAGCTACAAATTCTTT